GAAGAGCTGAGGAACAGCGCCCAGGCCCAGAGTTTAAGCCCCACGACCGACAAACAAAAACAAAAACAAAACAAAAAAAAAAAAAACCCGACAAACGTGCTTGAGAATCATATAAAATTCTCATTCTGCCCTGTGCTAGCTCATTAACCTCTTTAAGATTTCATTTTTTTTTTCCATCAGCAGAAAAGGACTTAGTGACATTTAATTCACAAAGTACCATGAGGATTAAATAGGCTATTTTGGTAACATCTAACAAACTACACAAATGCTCGTCCCTTTCCTCACCTCTCCCTTCCTTCTTCTGAACATTTAGTTCATTGTTTTTTATTTTTAGTTTTGAGACACAGTCTTGCTATGTAGCCCAGGCTGGCTTCAAATTCACAATCTTCCTGTATCAGCCTCCTAAGAGTTGGGATTATAGGCATGTACCACTATCCAGTGTCATTCTTTTCCATCTGCCCCTACACCTTACTCCTTTCCATTTTCTTTTCTTCCTTTTTTTCTTTTGTGCCAGTTCTAGGGCTTGAACTCAGGGCTTCATGCTCTCACTTGGCTTTTTTACTTTACTACTTGAGCCATACCTCCATTTGTGCCTTTTTGCTGTTTAATTGGAGATAAGAGTTTCACAGACTTTCTTGCCTCGGCTGACTTTGAACCTCTTTCTTCAGATGTCAGCCTCCTGAATAGTAAGAACAGCAAGAGAATGGTTCTCCTTTGTATTTTCTTAGCCTATCTCTCCACTGGTGCTTTTCTTAGCCAATGACAAGTATACTAAACCAAAAGCTAAAAATAGTCTCCCTCTCAATCCAGTTCTCCATTCCCTTAAGCTTTCTATTTCTCTTCATTCCTTGTCACTAAACTCTTTCAAAGAGTTGTCAACCAGCTAGGAAGAGTGGCACTTGACTATAATCTCAGTACTGAGAGACTAAGGCAAAGGGATCTTGAGTTTGAGGTCATCAAAGGACTACATAATGAGATCCTATCTCTTAATTTAAAGAGTTGTCAACTGTTCACAATCCAAGTTGTAACAAGGACTTTCAGCTCCACTCAGGGTGATAAAGAGGCGAGAATACATGTACAAAGTCTTCAAAGTGGAGAACAAATGCGTTCAGATCAGAAGCACGCTGACTACTTTTACTTCTAAATTTCTGTACATTCTTTAACCAATTTTTTTTTAATACTTTCCCTTCTAGAATCACCCTATCCTAAACATGGTCTTACTATGCAGCCCAGGTTGACCTAGAACTTGAGATCTTCCCTCCTCAGCCTCCCAAATACTGGGATTTCAGCCATGTTCCACTATCCTCTGACTCTAAAATTTCTTTCTCTTTTTTTCTTTGGTGCCAGGCTTGAGGCTAAACTCAGGGCCTGGGTGCTGTTCCTAAGCTTCTTTTGCTAAAGACTAGTGCTTTACCACTTGTGCTACAGCTCCACTTCAGGCTGTGTGTGTGTGTGTGTGTGTGTGTGTGTATGTGTGTATGTGTGGTCAAGGGGCTTGAATTCAGCCAGGGTGCTGCCCCTCAGCTCTTCAGCTCAAGGCAAGCGCTCTACCATTTGAGCCACAGCGCCACTTCGTTTTCTGGTGGTTTATTGGAGATAAGAGCCTCACGGACTTTCTTGCCTGGGTTGGCTTTGAACCACAATCCTTAGATCTCAGTCTCCCGAGTAGCTAGGATTACAGGTGTGAGCTACCATCGTCTGGTTTCAAGCTTTTTTAAAGTAGTTTATTGGAGATGAAGCTCAGGTCTGGGCACTAGTGGTTCATGCCTATAATCGTAACTATTCAAGAGGCTGAAATGTCTGAGGGTCATGGTTCAAAGACAATCCAGATAGGAAAGTCCATGAAACTCTTCTTTCCAATTAACTACCAAACAGGGGCTGGGAAGGTGGCTCAGTGGTAGAGTGCTTGCCTTGCATGCATGAGGCCCTGGGTTCGATTCCTCGGTACCATATAAGCAAAAAGAAAAAAGCCAGAAGTGGCGCTGTGGCTCAAGACCTAGAGCACTAGCCTTGAGCTGAAGAGCTGAGGGACAGCGCCCAGGCCGAGTTCAGGCCCCACAACCTGACCCCCCCCCAAAAAAAAAAACAAACCAAACCAATTAACCACCAAAAAGCTGGAAGTAGAGGTGTGGTTCAAGGGGCAGAACATGAACCTTTAGCAAAAAAGCTCAGTGACAGCTCCCAGGCCCTGAGTTCAAGCTCCAGGATTGGAGCACATGTGTACATGTGTCCACATATACCTCACAGACTTTCCTGCCAGGCTGGCTTTGAACTGAGATCCTCAGATCTCAGCCTCCTGAGAAGCTAGGATTACAGGCATGAGCCATCGGTACATGGTAAACCCGAGCTCTTTTGCCACAACTGAAACACTTGAACTTAGGGCCTTGAACTCTTGCTCTGTTTTTTTTTTTTTTGTCGGTTGTGGGGCTTGAACTCTGGGCCTGGGCGCTGTCCCTCAGCTCTTCAACTCAAGGCAAACACTCTACCACTTGAGCCACAGCACCACTTCTGGTTTTCTGGAAGCTTATTGGAGATAAGAATCTCATGGCCTTTCCTCCCCAAATTGGCTTTGAACCGAGATCTTCAGATCTCAGCCTCCTGAGTAGCTAGGATTACAGGCATAAGCCACCAGTGCCTGGTTATTACTCTGCCTTTTTTATTTATGGCTAGTGCTCTGCCAGTTGAGCCATGTCTCCATTTCTAGCTTTTTGCTGGTTAACTGGAGATAGGAATCTCTTGAGACTTGTCTACTCTTGGATTTTTTTTTTTTTTTTTTTTTGTGGTCGTGGGGCTTGAACTCTGGGCCTGGGCACTGTCCCTCAGCTCTTCAGCTCAAGGCGAGCGCTCTACCACTTGAGCTACAGCGCCACTTCCGGTTTTCTGGTGGTTTATTGGAGATAGGAGTCTCACGGTCTCTCCTGCCCGGCCTGGCTTTGAACCGTGATCCTCAGATCTCAGCCTCCTGAGTAGCTAGGATTACAGGCGTGAGCCACACCAGCACCTTGCTTAAGCATAAACGCTTTAAAGCCTGTCATATCCTGGACTTTTTTCCTTCTTCAGTTCTCAGACAACCTATGCCTCCAGACATACAAAACAAGTCATCGCTTCTGGTGAGTGCCACGGATTAGGTTTATTCCATGTGTTATTTTTAAGTTATTCCCGTCTTCTGGAAAGTGCTTCATTCATCCCCATCTCTACTAGAGACTTTAATCTACCCTTGCAAGTCTTTGTTTTCTCCACTGTCAAAGTGAATCCAAGCTTCTTTAAACCTCCATCAAGGCTAATAGACTTTGTTGGTATTATCATTATCTATGCTTAAATTCTTCTCCCTGACCAGGTTGTAAGATTTTTCTTTTTTTTTTTTTTTTTTTGGGTCCGGTCATGGGGCCTGAACTCTGGGCCTGGGCGCTGTCCCTCAGCTCTTCAGCTCAAGGCTAGCGCTCTACCACTTGAGCCACAGCGCCACTTCCGGCTTTTTTCTTTTTGCTTATGTGGTGCTGAGGAATTGAACCCAGGGCCTCAGGCATGCAAGGCAAGCGCTCTACCACTGAGCCATCTTCCCAGCCCCAAGATTTTTCTTTTTTGGTAGTCCTACAGTTTGTATTTATGGCCTCAGGTTTGCACTTGAGAGACACTCCCAGCCCTTTTTTTTTGTACTAGTTTTTTTTTTTTTTTTTTTTGTCCATTGTGGGGCTTCAACTCTTTGCCAGGGCGCTGTCCCTCAGCTCTTCAGCTCAAAGTGAGTGCTCTACCACTTCAGTTACAGCGCCACTTCCGGTTTTCTGGTGGTTTATTGGAGATAAGAGTCTCATAGTCTTTTCTGCCTGGGCTGGCTTTGAACTGTGATCCTCAGATCTCAGCCTCCTGAGTAGCTAGGATTACACCTGCTCAGCTTCACTACTGTTTTAGATTTAAGATCTCAAAGCATTTGCCCTGGACAGTCAAAGATTAAGATCTTCCTAACTCTGCCTCCCAAGAAACTGAGTTAACAGATGTGCACTACTGTAAGATTCTTGATAGCAAATACTTTTGCTTCCTTCAAGAACTTCCCCTTTATGTTTGCTTCTCTGTAACTGCTACACCACTTTGTAGGGTTGATCCTCCAGTAATCCAATGCACTCCTGACCCCTGCTGGTCACAGGTGGTTCAGCAGCCTGGCTCCAGTAACTTCCTTTCTTCAAGTATTGGCTGGGACAATCTGCACCATTACCTGCCAGGCAAAAGAAGATGCCTGCAGTTATGTTGCCTCTCTGAAAAACTCTTCAGGCTTCACAAATTTCCCCACTGGATCTGAATGCAGCCATTTGGACTTTGCTTCTTTCTCAGTTTCTCAGAAATAGGATTTCAAGGGGAGGGAAGGGATGGTAGGGGAAAAATAAAGGAGGAGGTTAACAATGTTTGATAGGAAATGTACTCATTACCTTAGTCATGTAACTGTAACTCCTCTGTACAGTATCTTTACAATAAGAAATATATACTGAAAAAAAATTGGATTTCAAGGAGTGAAGGCAGCAAGGAAAAAGAAAAGGTCAGCGGAAATTGAGGGAGGTGGGGATGTACAGCTCCTCTACCCCACCTCAAAGAGTCAAGTCCACGCCTCACAGAATTCTATTCCTTTTGACCTTTGTCAATCAAAAGGTTGTTCTTGGGCCATAGGCCTTCTTGGTGAGTGATGAACGGGAGGTTGGGTAGAACAGGTGGGCGGGGCTTGAGGGGTGGAGTTAGGCCAAAGTGCTTCTGAGAAGCTTCTCCATTCTGTCAGCTCTCCGGGAACATCCAAGGCAAGCAAGACTGGCACCCAGGACATACCAGGTGAGGGATTGGCAATGATTGACAGAAGGGTAAGCCTCCGGGTGACAGAGGCAGAAAGGTCCCCAGTTTTTTAAGCCTGAGATTTCTTTCCATATTGTGAAACGCTCACCTGTAGAAATCTTGAGTCTGCTCAAGCAAAAGTAGCCTCTGCAATAAAGATATGACTTGGGATAGAGGAGGGGGTAGGGCTGCAGGGACAGGGGTGGACATGAGCGTGTGACAGAGGCCTTGAGATACAAAAGAAGTCTTAAGAGACATGAAAGTGGATGAGTCAGGTCCAGGGAGAGAACACAACCATTGGAAAGTCCCAGACAAGAGAAAGGAGGCCATAACAAGGAGACTGAGAAGGGCAACAGGGCCAGTTTGAGAGGGCAGCAGGGCCAATGGAGAGCTGGGTAACAGGAAGGCCAGGGAGGAAGGAAGGCTTCACGGAGCAATGGCCTCTTCCGGCTGTGAAGCATGGCCCAGGTAAGCGGGAAACACATCAAAAATGTGGGTTCCCAGTAGAATGGTTCAACTGGGGAAGGATCCCCTCTGCCCCCCGTTACCCACCTCCTCTGTTTCTTCAGACTCCTATTTTTCATTTAGGGGAGAGGGTGAGGCTGTTCCTCCCTGCGGTCACAGCCACATCCTGCAGAGCAGGGGAGGGGGAAGTAAGAAGCAAAACAAGCAGAACCACGGGGAGCGAACCCTGGACACACGCGGCAGATAGGCAGAGGGTCCCAGGCCAGCCAAGCAGACCTTAGACCTTAGTACAGTCTGTTTTCCGCACTTTTTCCCTGCTTCAACCCACTGGCTGCATTCCAGAAGGTTCTTTGAATTATTTGGTTGGAACCCTATTTTATCATTTACTAGTGATTTCAGCCAACTTGCTTGCTTTCTCTTAGCTTCAGTTTTCTCATTGAAAAATAAGGAATACACCTACTTTGTGGGAAGGCTGAGGTGGTTCACATAGAGCGCTTGGTATATAGGCTCTCAGGAAAGTTTCATTATTCTTACTAGGAGTACTGGGAGTACTTTATCATCATTTCTTTCAAGATTATGAAGCATACCAGCTGACATGGGCTTTTGGAGTCAGAAAAGGTTGTGTTTCGTATTCATTAGGTAAATAATTTCACATAAGCCTCAGTTTGCTCAGCTGGAAACCAAAGAGTAATACCTATAGCTCCTAGAGAATATAGCTCTCAAAAATGGCATCTGGAGGCTGAGAATGTGGCTTAGGGGTAGAGTGCTCACCTAGCATGCATGAAGCCCTGGGTTTGATTCCTCAGTACCACATACACAGAAAAGGCCAGAAATGGCACTGTGCTCAAGTGGTAGAGTGCTAGCCTTGAGCAAAAGAGGCTTAGGGACAGTGCCCAGGCCCTGAGTTCAAGCCCTAGGACTGGAAAAAAAAAAAGGCATCTGTGAAGCTGGGGCTAGTGGCTCATGCCGTAATCCAAGCTACTCAGGAGGCTGGGAGCTGAGGATAGAGATTCAAAGCCAGTGCCAGCAGATAAATCTGAGAGACTTTTATCTCTAATTAACCAGCAAAATGCCAGAAGTGGAGGTGTGGCTTAAGTGGTAGAGTGTCGGCCTTGAGAAAAAGTCAAGTGAGAATGCAAGGGTTGAATTCCAACCCCAGTCCTGGCATGCATTCGGCAGCTGTGAGAACTACCAGCCAAGGAAACATACCCTCTCCATTCTAGTGGCAATAAGGTACCTGGCCTAAGACTTAACTGGCTTGAACTTAGGGCCTGGGCGCTGTCCCTGAGCTCTTTCACTCAAGGCTAGCCACTCTACTACTTTGAGCCACAGCACCACTTCCGATTTTCTGGTGGTTAATTGGAGATAAGAGTCTCACAGGGACTTTCCTGCCTGGGCTGGCTTTGAACAGCAATCCTCAGATCTCAGCCTCCTGAGTAGCTAGGATTACAGGCCTGAACTACTGGCACCCGGCTTCATTTCTCTTCCTAAGGAAGCCTGTGGCCTCTCTTCTAGTGACTGACCACATACCATCAGCCCAAGCACTATGGAGTCCTTCAGTTCAAGGAATCTGGCACTGCAAGCGGAGAAGAAACTACTGAGTAAGATGGCAGGCCGGTCTGTGGTGCATCTCTTCATCGACGAGACCAGTAGCGAGGTCCTGGACGAGCTCTACCGGGTGTCTAAGGAGTACACGCACAGCCGGCCGCAGGCTCAGCGGGTCATCAAGGACTTGATCAAGGTAGCTGTCAAAGTGGCCGTGCTCCACCGCAACGACTGCTTTGCTCCCAGTGAGCTGGCCCTGGCTGAGCGCTTTCGCCAGAAGCTTCGGCAGGGTGCCATGACGGCGCTTAGCTTTGGGGAGGTGGACTTCACCTTCGAGGCTGCGGTGCTGGCCGGCCTGCTCACCGAATGCCGAGACGTGCTGCTGGAGCTGGTGGCGAACCACCTGACGGCCAAGTCCCACGGCCGCATCCGCCACGTGTTCGATCACTTCTCTGACCCGGGCCTGCTCACCGCCTTGTACGGGCCTGACTTCACCCAGCACCTGGGCAAGATCTGCGATGGGCTCCGGAAGCTGCTGGACGAGGGCAAGCTCTGAGCGCCGGCCCCAGCGCCGGACCTTGGCTAAAGGGCTGCGCTGGGATGACCACAGGCCGCGGGCTTTCTGACCCTGCTCCGCCGGCCTAGCGCTTCTGGGTCCTCGGGCTTCACCCTCACCCCGCCCCCCCCGGGCTGCTGGGGCAGGAGCCACGCCGAGCGGGGTCAGGCTTCTCCTCCAGCCCCAGCACAGGAAATGGAGCTGCCTGAAAAAGGCGAAGTGAAACTTGGATCTCTCTCCGTCTCCCAGGAAGGATGCCTAAAACAGGAAATCTGTGTCCTTACAGCCCGAGAAAACAGGGGATAGCCCATAGAGCCCTGTGGGGGTACTGAAGACTGAAGGGGGGTGCTGGTGGCCCTTCGAGACAAGGTAGACTTCTAGTTCTAGGCAGAGTTTGGATAGCTACTGCAGGCTCTGTTTCAGAATGAAGGGAGAAGAGGCCAGGCAAGAGAGATTCTCACCAGGGAAATAAAGCTACTAAAACATGCATAGGGCTCAATGTTTAATCTCTCCAGCTTCTTGTACCTTAGGATCATTGCAACAGAAAGGAGGTATACAAACACCATCCATCAAACCTCTCACCATTTCCACACAGGACACTGAGGCATATTTCCAGTATTCTGAGGTTCTCTCGACTACTATTTCTGTTTAAGACACACACACACACACACACACACACACACACACACACCAACAACAACAACAACAACAACAAGCTGTACTGCAGATCAGTGCTACATATTGCAAATAAATATGCAGTGAGAAGCAAGGCCTAGACACGCTCTGATGGGAAGGGGGTGTTGTTACCAAGAGACTCCTACAACTATCCTCCTCTTCAAGCCCCAAGGCATTTATTTCTCATCCCTCAGCAACCCACAGGCTAGCAGGGGAACTGGGGGAACAGAGCTCAGGTCCTTATGCGACTGCTTTTTCTCAGAGCAGGAATTGTGAAAAAGTTATTGGTAATTGGTTAGGATGGTCAAGACAGCCTTTTACCTTGACACTGAGAAAAAGACGCAGTAGAGTTCACCATTCTGTGCAGCGATGCTAGATCACTGATTCCTCCGCCCTGGGTGACAACTAAGGCTAAGGAGGCAGGGAGGTGAGGAGCTGGCAATGTTCCTGGGGTCCCCCTCAGCCTGGAGCTCTACAAGTCCCCAGTATTAGCTGAGTGGGAAGGAATTAGATACAGCAAATAAATAGTACTTCAAGATAGCACCAAATAAGTTAGGTAACTTAGTTGGAGATGGGGAGAAAGTTGAAGTTTCCTTCCTCTAAAGCCAGGAAATGGTAAGGAGAGGACAGGGATGGGGGGGGGGGGGGGGAGGGTGAGGAGGGGAGAGGGTGGTAAAAGAGCCTTCTGAATCTAAAAGACAACTCTAGATTCAGCTCCCGAAATGGGAAGGAGTCTAGTCCCCATCTCCTATTTCTATCAAAACAATAACAACAACAATAATAATTGTCCCAGATGGTGGAATTCTTGATAGACAAGAAAGCTGGGGAAGATGGCTGGAGTAGAGGGAGGCAGGCAGCGAGGCTGGGTTCCTGAGCCTCACCTCAGGCTCTTCTCCCCTCAAATTGTTTCTGTAATACCCTGCTTCTCAAAGTCTGCTCTGGGGACATCAGAGCTTGAAAATTTCATCTTCCTGCTCTCGTAGTGATTGGGTCCGAGAGGTCCGGGTCAGCGGCACCGGACCTAGGACTGCTCGTTGCTGCATCCGAGGAGAGCTCTGATGAGCTGCATGCTCCCCAGGCACCCTGTAAGGAAACAGGGGAAAGGGTGACAGATCAAGGCAAGAATCTGAGAATGGGCCAAAGGAAGAGGTTCACAGAAGCTATCTTCCTCTCTTGATGCATGAACTGATTGCTCTAAGATGAAGTATCAATAGCTACATGCTGGTGGCTCACACTTCCCATAATCTTAGCTGCTCTCCCAGCAGAGATCCAGAGGATTGCAGTTCAGCAATCCTGAGAAATCCTGGGTAGAAAAAAATCCATAGAGGGCTGGGAAGGTGGCTCAGTGGAAGAGTGCTTGCCTTGCATGCATGAGGCCCTGGGTTCGATTCCTCAGCACCACATAAGCAAAAAAAGAAAAAAGCTGGAAGTGGCACTGTGGCTCAAGTGGTAGAGCACTAGCCTTGAGCTGAAGAGCTGAGGGACAGCGCCCAGGCCCAGAGTTCAGGCCCCACGACTAGACCCCTCCCCCCCAAAAAAAGAAAAAGAAAAAATCCATAGAGAGGGGTTGGGAAGGTGGCTCAGTGGTAAAGTGCTTGCCTTGCATGCACAAGTCCCTGGGTTCGATTCCTCAGCACCACATAAGCAGAAAACGCCAGAAGTGGCATTGTGGCTCAAGTACAGGGCACTCACCTTGAGCTGAAGAGCTTAGGGACAGCTCCCAGGCCCAGAGTTCAGGCCCCATGACCGACAAAAAAAAAAAAAAAAAAGAAAAATCCACAAAGCTACATTGCCAAAATAACCAGCAAAAAAGCTGGGCTCAGGGCATGGTTCAAGTGTTTGAGTGCCTATAGATGATCACAGCATGAAGAAGGGTCAACTGTTTTACTCCAGTAAGAAATGGAACTTAGTTTCCTACCACCTCAACCCATTCAAGCAGCCACTGGCTCTGGCCTCAATGTCTTGGAGCCATCTAGAGAAAATGTACCCTGCTTGCTTCTGCTGGCACTGTGTTCCTTACTTGTATTTGAGGTTTGGGTGAGATGGAGGAGACTATGGAGGAACTGTTAAGGAACCATTCAAGACTCACCCACTCTCCCCTTTTCTCAGCTTCTGGGCAGCAGCCTTCTTTGAAAGGCTGATCTGTAAATCAAGCTTCTTAAGGAAATCAGAGGCAGAGAGGTCATGGACAGGTCGGGGTGATTCGTGGCCAGGTGTAGAGGGCACTTCACCATTGGCACGTCCAGAACTTGTCTCTCGTTTCTTCCTCTCAGGTGAGTGTGAACGAGCTGCAGCCTTCCTTGAATGTACCTCTTCCTCTCCATCTTTCTCTTCCTCAGAATCCAAGCTGTTGAACAGGTCTCTGGGCTCTGTCAGTATGGGAATGTAGATGGTTTTCTTTAGGAAGATGGAGTCATTCGTATAAAGGCGGTTTGCACGTTTAATCTGTTCCATCTTTAAAAATAAAAAGTCACCAAAATTAATGACAGTAACAATGATCAATCTTATCTACCATCTTAAGCTTTTCAAAGCCATTGTACAAGCCAAGTACCAGTGGCTCACGCCTGTAGTCTTAGCTTCTCAGGAGGGTGAGATCTGAGGAAAATTGAAGCCAGCCCAGGCAGTTAAGCCCATGAGATTCTTAGTTCCAATTAACTACCAAAAAGTCATAAGTGGAACTGTGGATCAAGTGGTAGAGCACCAGCCTTGATTGAAAAGCTAAGACACAATGCCCAGTTTTGGGTTCAAGCCCCAGGACTAGCATAAAACAAATGACTAGGACTAGGCTAGAAGTAAGGCTCAAGTGACAGAGTAATTTCTAGCAAGCATGAGTCTGAGTTCAAATCTCAGTACAATAACAGCAAAAAAAAGGATAACTCTATCTTACAAATAAAAAGTTATATTGCCTAGTCTTATGGCCCTTTTATGTTTTTCAAATTACTGAGACAAAAGCTTTTACTTAAAGCCTGAAATTTAAGGTCTTTAAAATGAAAATTGAGGGGCTGGGAAGGTGGCTCAGTGGCAGAGCGCTTGCCTTGCATGCATGAGGCCCTGGGTTTGATTCCCCAGCACCACATAAGCAAAAAGAAAAAAAAAAGCCGGAAGTGGCATTGTGGCTCAAGAGGTAGAGCACTAGCCTTGAGCAAAAGAAGCTCAGAGACAGTGCCCAGGCCCTGAGTTCAAGCCCCAGGACTGGCAAAAAAAATAGTATTACAATAATGAAAAGCAGGGGCTGGGAAGATGGCTCAGTGGTAGAGTGCTTGCCTTGCATGCATGAGGCCCTGGGTTCGATTCCTCAGCACCACATAAGCAGAAAAGGCCGGAAGTGGTGCTGTGACTCTAGTGGTAGAGCGCTAGCCTTGAGCTGAAGAGCTGAGGGACAGCGCTCAGGCCCAGAGTTCAGGCACCAAGACTGGCAAAAAAAAAAAAGAAAGCTGAGAAGCCAGGTTTAGTGGCTCATGCCTATAATCCTAGCTACTTGAGAGGTGATGTTTGGGAGGAATGTGGTTTAGGACAGCACAGGCAAAAAAGCTCCAGAGACCTCCCCTCCATCTCAATTAATAGAAGTTGGATATTTTGCTATGTATCTGTCATCCTATCTATGTGGAAAATGTAAGTAGAAGAACTGGGGTCTAGGCTGGCCAGCATAAATGAGAAACTCTATTTAGAAAGAACTAAAGTGGGGCTGGGAAGGTGGCTCAAAGGTAGAGCGCTTGCCTTGTATACATGAGGCCCTGAGTTCGATTCCTCAGCACCACATAAGCAGAAAAAGCCAGAAGTGGCGCTGTGGCTCAAGTGGTAGAGCGCTAGCCTTGAGCTGAAGAGCTGAGGGACAGTACCCAGGCCCAGAGTTCAGGCCCCACAACCGACCAAAAAAAAAAAAAAAAAAAGAACTAAAGCAAAAAGGGGATATTGATCAAGTGGTAGCTTATCTGTCTAGCAAGTGTAAGCCCCTGAGTTCAAACCTCCATATTTCAAAAAAAATTATAATTAAAGCTGATAAAATTTTAGGAAAATCAGTTTATTGATTTATTTTTGTCAGTTGTGTGGGGCTTGAACTCTGGGCCTGGACACTGCCCCCGAGCTCTTCAGCTTAAGACAAGGTCTACCACTTGAGCCATAGAGCCACTTCCAGTTTTCTGTTGGTTAGTTGGAGATAAGAATCTCATAGAGGGGCTGGGAAGTTGGCTCAGTGGTAGAGCGCTTGCCTTGCATGCCTGAGGCCCTGGGTTCGATTCTCAGCACCACATAAGCAAAAAGCCAGAAGTGGCGCTGTGGCTCAAGTGGTAGAGCGCTAGCCTTGAGCTGAAGAGCTGAGGGACAGTGCCCAAGCCCAGAGTTCAGGCCCCACGACGGGACCCAAAAAAAAAAAAAAAAAAAAAGAATCTCATAGACTTTCTTGCCCACCTGGCTTTGAACTGTGATCCTCAGATCTCAGCCTTCTGAGTAGCTAGGATTACAAGTGTGAGCCACCGACCACCCAGTGAAATTTTTTTTTTTTTGCCACTCCTGGGACTTGAACTCTGGGCATGGGCACTGTCCCTGAGCTTCTTTTGTTCAAGGCTAGTACTCTACCACTTGAGCCACCGTGCCAGTACCATCTTTTTCTGTGTATGTGGTACTGAGCAATCAAACACAGGGCTTATGCATGTGAGGCACTAAGCCACATTCCCAGCCTGTGAAATTATTATTATTATTTTTTTGTCAGTCATGGGGCCTGAACTCTGGGCCTGGGCGCTGTCCCTCAGCTCTTTAGCTCAAGGCTAACGCTCTACCACTTGAGCCACAGCGCCACTTCCGGCTTGTTTTGCT